CGATCGATTTTTAGAGGGGTCGAAATTTTGGAGTTTTCACGGTACTAATTATTCCATTTCAATGAAACTTAGTATAAAATGCTCTAGGACAATGTACAAACCTAATTAGTTTGGGGTAAAAATCTGTTCATATTAATTCCCTAATAAGCATAATAATTCATAATTTTTTGGTTCTAATCACATTTCAATTAAACTTGGAGACATAGATTTTCCGTTACATTGCGCAGACCTCATTAGTTTTACACTCAAATCTGGTCATATTAATTTTCTGATTTGCATAATTAGTTTTCAGCTAAGTAATTTCGAATTATATTTAATGTGTCTCCAATACTCTCAGCACATGGGAGTTCTTTCTAAGCTTTCTTTGATTTATAATATTTGAAATCTCTGTATTTTACTGGCTGGCATAATTAGAAAGCTTCGCGTTCATTCCCTTTATTCTAATTCAATTTTATTCACATGCGTAAGTCTGGTTTGCGCGCAGGTTATCATTAGAATGCCATGCACAAGTCTGATTTGGGCGTACGCGCAAGTGGCATATATACAAAACTGCGTCTTACCTTTTGCATGTGCAACTACCCTGTAGAGGCACCCTTACATACACGGCCGTGTATGGTAGGCTCGTACGGCAATTCACATTTATTGTCAAGACCATGAATGACTGGAAAATTACAAGGATCACAAAAATTTCCAATGGAAAATTAAATAAATTTGCCTTAGTCAAAAGCTTGGAAACTAGTCTATAATAGTTGGCAGAAGAACATTTGTTTTATTTGCCTGAGCCTTGGAATGAAAGACGTACATATATAATATAAAATATGATTTTGTGAATATACATCATGCATGGTCTCAGATAATGTTTAGTTTAATGTTCCGCGTAGACCAAATATAATCACGCAAAGTATAAATTCAAAGTATTTTAATACATTGGTGAGAGGTCGCATGCACTTAGAAAAAAAAGCCGAGGTCAAAATTTGGTACAACATACGCCGTGACAACTGAGTGATCAGCGACATCATTTTGGGGCGCAATTGAATTCAAGTACTTATTTGCAAAACTTGCTGTGCTGCGATGCTGACATCAAGTGTATGTTGACCGAAGTTTGGCACGTTACTTTAGCAACCCCTTTTGTTCTTGCCTCGTGTGTCGTTCTAGTCAAATTGTTATGATATCCCCAACTTGTACACAACTCTGTACTGGCTTTTCTAATTACGCAATTTTGTTTACAATATTGTACCAGCTCAACATTGTAATTG